TTTAAATTTTAGAGATTTTAATTGAAAAAGTAAATTAAACCAGTTTGTCTATATTTCTAAAAATTTAACAAGAATAGAAATTTCTAACATAATAATGACAATCATGATAATATTAACATCGGCAATCAAATTAGTAAGTAAAGAACTCAAGATAGAAGCGACATAAAAATTCATCTAACAAAAATAAGGAACGCGTACGATAGAACTTAACATAATACAATGAAAGTTAATATTCAATTTAGAAAAAACAAAAAAGCAAGTACTATGAAAATAAAATTATCAATAATACCTTATTTTAAGAAAGATTAATTTAATTACGTATATGCGAATCGATTTTAAGAATCAGTATGGCTAAGCCTGATCGACCAACAAATGTTTCAATCAGTTAAAATCATGGATCGTCATCACGTTATTACCTGTAATTTTCGGTTATATTTCACAGCCTTCTGCAATACCGGTTTGCAGCCTATCAACAAAATTAAACTCAGAGACTATGCCTCATACTAACGAATCGATCATAAGGTGAGTCGGCGGCATGACAAGTCTACCGGACCCTAAACATTAACATTATTAATTAATTTTAAACATGAAAATCCAACGACAGTTTAATTCTCTTTTTTTCCTGGTATTTTGGGCTGAAAGAACCTACATAAGTAGTTAAGATTATATTTTTTTTAAATAGCATTAAACAACCAATCGAAACAAAGGCAAATCACGCATCAATAAAGTAGAGATCACATGATTAAAAAAAAATATATATACAACCTAAGTACGATAAAAATCTTTAGGGGCTTGATCAAAACATTCTAAATAGTTTAACGTGCAAACATTCCAGTAGCACAGAAGTTTAAAACATTTAAAACATTTAGAACACATAGAACGTATAAAATTTTTAGACGATGTCCATTACTGTTCCAGTTTAAAAGGAAAAGTGGCGGATCACGAGTAAGGGGATACCCAATAAAGAAGACTTTCCACGGTCAATCATAGGCTTAGATAGTGACACGAGCGAAACGGCGAGTCAGTCGCTTGACAAACGGGTATGTCGTGTAACCTACAAGTCAGGCTTAGTCGAAGAGGCGTGTTATATTTGGCGAGTGTATAATGATGATTGTAGGTATGGTTTGTATTATATAATGAAACAGAGAATTATTATGGGGCGAAATGTTTGTTAAGCACTAACTGAACTGTTCTTGGAGGGCTCGAAGCCTTTATTATATATCTTCATTTACATAGGGCTCATTATACATTTTATTAGTAATATACCGCTTATACCACTTATAATGTTTATGCTACTTATACTGATCATAATGTTTATAATGATTATTTTAATTATATTTTTGATTCCATTAATCCCCCTTATCCTACCGATATAAATCATCAATACGATACCAAGTATACAGCCGATACAGTGTATACTGCCGGTAAACCCATTTATGGTAGGTGATCGACATAGCCGTTTATTCGTCACTGCGCCACATCGATTACCTGTCTTAACGAGCTTCCGACACCGCCTTCCTACCGCTCACAATAGAAAGGATATTCGGCAATCGGAATAAAAAAAATTAAAATAAACATGATCAGCAAATGCCAGGAAATATGCCTGATGTGAAATTTGGCGTAACCTGCACACCCTACGCGATACTTTCTTGAGATAGCGTAATTACATTTATCAATACTTGAAATAATTGTCTATGAAAAAAGGTCTAGTAATTAAATGTTGGTGAAACGATTAGAGTTGTTAACGGCTTGTATGACTTGGTTTGGCTTTCAAAATCCAGATAGCAGATTATGTATGCTTGATGTAAAATTAAAGGCCGTAGCTTAAACTAAGCCATCGCTAAGCTTTGCTCTAAGCTATAACACAAGTTACATCTTAAGTTCTGAAGTTGCAGCTCAAATATACAATTTACGTTGCAATTTAATGGCTTAGATTGACTTAGCTTTATTACACAACTAAAACTGTTCCAACTAAGCCGTTAATAACTCTAAAAATTATATAATACATTAATTAATTAAAGCTTCTTACATCCTGCATCAATATAATATTTATAAAAGTATTAGATTATTTTTTTTTATAAACGTTTCAAAATTATAACTTAATTTTATCTATCAAACCATTAAATCTATAATTTTTTCTACATACATATAACAATAAATATAAAAAAAATGTCACGAATGTCTAAGAGTAAAAATGAACCAAAAATATTAAACTTTGTTTGAGTTAATAATAAAGTAGAATTACAATTCATAATTACAATTAGTAATTGTGAATTATTAAAAATTATGAACTTTACAAATATTTAGACAATTCTACTTTTATGGCAATGATTATTTAAAGTATTACTTTATACGTAATTTTATCAAAGAATCATTATATTCTTAAAATATATTTTTCTTCTTGCATATGAATATTGCACATTCAACTGAAATGATTGAAGATTTGAAAAGATCAGATCGTCCAAGAATTTTAACACAAGAGAAAGAAGAAAGAATAATTGAATTGATTAATTCTGGAGAATGTGAAACAGCAACTGAAGTTCATTCAACAATTTTAACACAAGAGAAAGAAGAAAGAATAATTGAATTAATTAATTCTGGAGAATGTGAAACAGCAACTGAAGTTCATTCAACATTTTATAAATTATTTATAAATATTACACGGTTTCATGATCGGTATTACGAATAGTTGTGGTGTATGGTTTAGTAAAGTAGTGAAGTATACTGTAAAAATCGCATTTGAGTATATAAAATTAGCATACTATACTCATAATATAATATATGTAAAATAGTCTGTAAGAATACTATCGACTACAGCCGAAAGGACATGAATTACACTGATACATTCGATTGTTGAAGGTCTAAAAAAAGGCATCATCGAAAGAATGTAAATTACGCTGATGATTATTATCATTTGGAGGTCTAAAAAGAGCATCTTTTTGATTATCGGCTGTGGTCTGGAAGAGCATAAATTGCATTAATGTCCGTCACCATTTGAAGGTCTAAAAAAGGCATCTTTTGATATTGACTATGATATGGAAGAACACTACCGATTATAATTGGAAGAACATAAAATATACTAATGTTTGTCATCATTTGAAGATCTAAAAAAGCATTTGTTTAGAACTTTGGCATTTATTGAAGCCGATTTAATAAAAAAGATTTAGAATGCTATACTATATACATGTCTTTGTAGAGGAATGTAAATTAATGTTCTCATGGTTTGTAAAATTTAATTCAAAAACTACAAGTTTTGACATCAAATATCTTCAAATATACTCATACTTATATCTATTATTACATATTTTATCAAGTCATTACATTTTTCCAACAATTGCAAAAAATTGCAATTAATAGATTCTCTGTGACTTTATCACCAATCAATTTATTGGGTTCGAATAGTTGTGATTAATTGCCTCACCTGCTTCTAAAGATAAATTTGATTAATAAATAATAATCTTGATCAGTTTTAAAATGAACAGTAAACATGAATTAAATTGTTCAAATGATATTGAATTATTAAGTATACAATATCAACATATTACAAACTCAATAATCTAAATTTAAAATTTTCAAAGTTCATAAACCCGTTATAGTAAACTTTCACTGTAACTGGATTTCTAAACTAATCTCCCTTAGATCATGAATCAAACTAATATAAATAAATAATTAAAATGAAGCCATAAAAGATTGTAGAGTTCTCATGAGTTAAATAACGAAAAGAACCAGTACCAAGTACAGTTCACCTTTGTCAAAGTGAACTCTTGATATAATAGAATTAATTATATAATATTTTTGAGTCTAGCATTTCTGAGCCTATAGGTATAGTAGAATTTCATTATAGCGTGAATATGTTGTTGTCTTGTATTTCTAAATATAAGCCACCTTGGTTAATAAATACTGTATTTATAATTTGCGATTTTTATCATTATTTCTGGTAAATATATAAAAAAATATCAAATTCACCTCTTGAGTTTATTTTCTTAACAATATTTTTTTGAAGTCTACGACAATTTTGTCTTTTGTTGATTTATTATTTCGATAACCTAACTGTCCTATAAGTGTCATAAAAGTTGGTCTCCTAGCATCATTCTCACAGGCATTTGTTTAAGCATATAAGCTCTTTCATTTTAATACAATAGGTTGCTAATCAATTGGTTTAGTAAAGCCTTAATTTCAAGATCTTTATAGGAACGAATGTAATGAGTGTATACCAGGAACGAATGTAATGATGCCAGGAACAAATGTAATGAGTGTGAGTGTGTAAATTATATGCAGTTTTAAGTGGGATTGTCTGCGAAATTTTAAGTTTGATTGGTCCGTGTGATTTATACATCAAATTTTGATTATTTTTCACACATGAATTCATTACGCGTATACATCAAAGGATATACACATCATCCGAATATGCAATTACAGAGCATAATTTGAATATAAAAATGCAAACATAAACGATGTCTAGTTGCAAATAACTAACGATAGTAAAAAAGGAATTTTAGACACAAAAATCGGTAATCTGATCAAATTAATTTGTGTATTTACCTGATATTATTGGGTTGATTAAATGATAATCATTGATCGTCAAAAACGATTTTCGGATAACCAGATAACCTGATAATTTATTACATGATGCCTTGTAAACTTCTGTCAACTGCCCGGTATTGTATATCAAATGCTTCACGATATATTAATGAGATGCTAGATCAATTCTCGTTTGTACGTTACCTGGACTATTTGTTAACTGCTATATCTGCTTTCGTTCCTGGTTTCTAGCGCGATTGCGTCGCACAGTTACCTTATTAAGAATGTTAATGCAAAGCTAAAAATGCGAGCCCTATTGAATAAGATCTACATGGCTTAGCATAATTTACGTAATAAATGAACATTTTACCAGTACGATCACATGAATGTGTAACATGAAATGTGGTTTTTTTCAACTTTATCACAGAATTGTTGATCACAGAATTTTTATTTGAGATTGGCCTTAGTTTTGTTAAGTGTCGAATGCAAATGTGATTGTGAACATTATGTACATGAAATCTTTGAATATCTTTTTTATTGCACATTAAGAATTATTAGGTTTTAAGTGTAATAAGAATTTGTGTGAATGTTTTCAAAGGACAGATTTCGGTAAATAGATTTATTAGGAATATGTATATGTAAGATTTTTTTATAATCCTATTTCTTAACCTCCTATAAATAAATTGATAAAATTGGCATTATTAATTTTACAATATTAGATTGCAAAAATGAGACTTCGTAGTTTTGATTTCTAGAAAAGTTAAGATCAGGTGACCAATATGATATAATAAAAGGCTTTAGTATTAGCACGTCACCAAATAGATATAACTCGTGTTTTAGTGAATGAAATTATGAAATTGAAGGGAAAATTAGATCATCGAATGCACGTACATATGTAAAATTTATTAGACTCTCAATCGACAGGTAGAGTAATTAAAATTTAGACTAGCTATATAAATTGTGTGTGTATAAAATTGTATATAAAATTGTGTATAAAAATTGTGCATAAAAATTGTGTATAAAAATTGTGGAGGCACAGACTATTTTTTTCATAGTTACGCCAATTGGCCAAAGTTTAATTGCATTACATAATCAATGGAAGTTCTAAAAATTAGTTATATAAATTAATTAGTTCAAGTGGATTATCTTTTTAGTATAGACCAGTTAAACAGTTTTTATGTCTAAACATTTATCCTGTTATAATCCTCCTGTTACAATTATTTAACTTTGGGACTATTCAATAATCAGTTAAACCAAGATCTTTATAAGATCTTTATAAGATTAATCAAACTATCCGACTCATCCGAACTTTATCATATAAAGTAACATTTTTGGGTTTTTTTTCATGTTTATACATCTATGCAAATCATTAACTGTTAATTGATAAGATCTAGGGATCGGAACAGCCTAAAATTTTTCTTAATCGTTTAACTGTTTAATTTGACCGGCATTAAAATAATTCCAGCCCATTACCAACATAATTTTGCCCGGATAAGATTAAGCAATCGATACCTAAATTACAAACCATAACAACCTTTCATATTATTAGATTAGTGTTGTTATTTTTATTATTATAAATTAATTATTATAATAAATTATTATAAATTATTATTATAATAATTTATATATATATATATATTTTTTTAAGAGTGAGGCCTGGCCTCGATCTTTATTAAACAATTTGGTATTACATTAATAAAAATGAGTTACATAAATTATTACATGGACCTATAGCTAGGACTAATTTATCCTCAGTCCAAAACTCTACTAGAGTAGGCTGTCAGACCTCTTCTAGGTTTAGTGTTGCAATGTAGGATATATATATGTTAGTAGTAGAAAAAATAGTTGTCCATTTTTTATATTTTGTTGCAGCTGCTTGGTCTGTGGCTGGGTGTTCTAGGGTTGTAATTGTTAGTGTATTTGTTAGTAGGTTGTTTTGGTACACAGTTTTGCATCATTCTATCCATATTTGTTTGTGAATACTATTTGATATTTTATAAAATAGAATAACAAACATGTTTGAATTGATATTATTAGTTGCAGGTAGGTTGTTTGGTATTAATTCTTATAATCTAAGAAGATTATATGTGTTGTTTGATGTTTGAAAGAATTGTTATAATAAGGTAGATATATTTTGTAGTTTAATTTTGTTTTTAGTAAGGAATTTAGAGGTAGTTTGTTGGATTACTTGATTTAAAAATATAGGATTTGCTGTACATTCAAGCTAGTAAAAGTTGTTTTCAATATGTATAGAGCAGTAATTACAGATAGGATTAATATATGTTTTAGGTTTTCTGTAATATAGGTTTAATAGAGTTGGTAACTCATCTAGTAAAAATTTAATTTTAAAATTTTAATCATAAGTATTTGGAATAAGTAGTATAGGTATTAGATCTGTTGTTATAGTTAAGAAATTTGTGTATTGAGTTTCAGTTGGTATCTTTACAGATATCATTTTAGTATTTAGTTCTGTTAAGAGCATGTCATTTTGTTGTATTTGTTGTATTTTGTAAGTGTCTAATGAAATAATAAGTTTTGTTTTCAATTAGTGTATTGTTATAAATAAGATAAAAATTATTATTATCAAGTGCATGAGGTTGAATATGCAGTTTGTATTGTTGTATGTTGGTAGATTGATGGGTTGTTTTGTTATATAGAGAGTTGTTGTCAAAATCCTCAATATAGATGCCTTTAATTTTGGTACCTTTGTGAGCACTTATAGTTTGTAGTAATAGTTTGAGTAATCAATGGTTGTGTTTTTGAAGAATAAGAATAGAATTTGGTGTTGGTACAAGAAGGAAGTTAATGTAGTTGATTGTTGATTTGTAAGTTATATAGACTGTTATTTGACAGTTTTGTAAAGCTATTATTAAAATTGTTATAATTCCAATAAGATATACACATATTGTGAAGAGTCAATATGTAATTTGGAATGAGAATATTATATTAGTCAGTATAAGAGTCCAGGCAAATTGAGCTATGACTGTGATGTATTTGCTTGAGTTATAGTTGCATAAAGATTTGGTTTTTTGATCTGCAAATTGATTATTGTAAGGTAAGATAGTTGTGTAATGGCAGTACTTGGTAGAAATATTTGGTATAACAAATTGTTTTAAGTCATTAAAGTAGTAGATAGTTATGAATTTTGATAAGTAACTAAAATAATAGATAAGTATTAAGGTAATATTTTTTTTTAACTGTGACAAAGTCTGTGTATTGAATTTATAGTGATGCTGTATTAGGTCATTGATATCTGTTTAAAAGATCTTGGAGCTGAATACTTTAATCACAATATACTGAGATGTGATAAGTGTAATTATACATTGCTAGTTAGTATTAGCAATGCAAGTATGTTTGCATTAAAGGCATTTAGCAAGTAATGCTTTGTACTGTAGTTCAGATAGTAGTATTTGATAATATTTTATATATATTATATTGTTTGTATTAGATGTTTTTTGTATTTTTTCTATAATTAGTGTACTTTTAATTTTGCTAAGAACTCAGATACTTCTTTTTAATACTATGGAGTTTGTAGTAAATAGGTTGGAAGTGACAATGGAAATGTATGGTGTAATAGTTGTATAAAAGATATATTGAAGTTTCTAAAACCACTTGGGAATTCTTCCTCTTGGTATTTTTTATTTTTGTATATAATACACTGCTATGAAAAGAGCTGTGTATTTGTGTGATTAATAAGTTGTTTAATAGCAAAGATGTTTGATTCTTGGTTAGTAATTTAATTTGTGTTGATTTAGTACAGTGTTTGATTAATGTATTAATTAAGATGCCCTTATATATAGTTGGTATTGGCTAGAGATTTGAAAAGTTCTGAATATGAATTTTAAGTTAGTATGCAATTATGATAGTTTGGACTATAAGTATGTTATGAAATTTTGTAGATAGTATATAATTTGGAGAATATAAAATATTATTAGATGAAAGTGTTGCTTGTAGAAGATGTTGTAATAGAATTTTAATTAGTAGGGTTGTTAGTAGATTGTTTAGTTGTATATGAAGAGAAGAGATATAGTTCTGTATTTGAATGTCTGTTAGACTACATAGGTTGTATATTTGGTAATGAAATATAATAAAGTTAGATATCATTAAGGCCAATCCAGCTTTGTGTTTTGCAACTTGCATATATAAGTTAGTAATACTTTGGGTATTAGATTGGTAAACAAATGTGTTTGATGTTCTGTATAAAAAGTGAGATATAAGTACAGTATTGATAATATAGATTGCTTGTTTTTTTGTGATTTTTTTATTTTTTATAGTACTAATAAGGTTGGTAGCCTTAGCAGTAATTTGATTATGGATATGTTTGTGCTAGTTAAGTAATATAACCAGCAGTTCAGATAACAAAAAGTATCTTTTAAAAGGATAATATGTATAATTATATTAGTAAAGATAATTGTTGGATTTGAATCTTTGGTCTGGTTTGTTGCAAAGTTTGATTTGGTAAAATTGACTATAATGTTAGCCATGTTGTAGAAGGACTCAGTAGCATTAACAATTTGTTGAAGAGTCTATTTGTTAGGAGCCAGTCATAATGTATTATCTATATAGGCTAGTACTAATATGTAATATGCTAAATGTTGTGTGTTAGGTAAAGGTGTCATTGATATATTATATTTAAAATGAATTTAAGTTATTAGAAGGTTGTATTATATATGCCAAAGAAGTGGTGTGATTGTTTCTTCTTGGTTTATGCTATCTTGTACATGATAGCTAAATGTAGAACCAAAGTTTGTAATAACTGAGCTGTATCAGTTATTTTGTATATTAATTATAAGTTGTTGTATATTGATGGGAATTTTTAATTGAGTTAGGGCATGTTGAAGAAGTAGAATGTGTATAGAATTATATGCCTTGCTTATGTTCTGGGCCAAGAACCATATTCCTTTATTTTGTATTTATATTTCTTGTAGTATATTTGTAAGAATTGTATAGGTTGTATTGTAAAAGAATAAGGCAGAGTAATGAAGTTGTGTAAATCTAAAATAGGATATTTAGACATTATTTTGCTAAGTTGGTTAGTAATAATTTTGTAAAGATTTTAAGTATGTTCAAGGAATGTTATAGGTTTGGTATGGTTGAGTTAATCTGTAAAAGTTAGTTTTGTTGATATAAAATATATTTGCTTTGTTTTCAAGCAGTAAAAATGTCTGCAATGTTTAAGCATGAGTTAAATAGAATTGTTAAAAGTTTAGTAATGTGAGAATGAGTATGTTTGAGTATTTCTTTAGAAATAAGTGTAGGTCTGGGTGTTTTACTGTTAGGTAAAACATTTATTATGTTGATTATTTCTTGTTGAGTTATTGAATCTGTTAGTATATTATATCATACTAGAAGTATATTTGTTTTGGAGTTATATTTATTTTTTTATTGTTCTAAAGAGTTGGGTTATATGAATTGCATTTTGGTTCAGTTTGTGAAATGGTCTTTGATGTGTTAAACAGATCTCTTGTGGTTTAGTTATTATAGAGTTAGGGAGTTTTATATTGTTGAATAAACAGTATCATTATATCTATTAAGTATACTGTTGATCATTACTGTAGTATTGGATATAAAGTTGTTGTAGCAATTTTCAACCTGTTTGGTAATGTGTTAAGATAGTGTGTATTTGTTTTCACTTTTCTGAATATGGTATAATGTTTTGCAATGCTCTTTTATTGTATTAATAGTGTTAAAAAGTTGGCTATTATCAATGTTCAGCAGAATAAAAGATATAATAAGTATGTTAGTAAGTGATTGG